CAAAATAAATAGCATATTTCATTTTACTGAGGTAAAAATCTGAATACCAGTTTCAAAGGTGGTATGCACGGATCATGCTCAAGTTGGTGAGTAAATCTAGTCTACACTTACGAGAACCTCAACTCAGCCTTGTTTCCTCTTTATTATCTCACATATGTATGAGAAAGTGAGACATTTTATGGGAGAAAGTATGTATGAGTAATATTTGCAAATCTGGGGAATTCAAAAAGGTCTTCAATCTATTTAAAACTCTAAAAAACAAAACATACACTGACTGACATGACATATAATAAAATATATATATATTCATGCAATGAAAACTATAGGGTATAAAAATCATTTAACCATATAAATTCTACCACAGGGAAGACATGTTTAATATGAAAAATAGTAATTCAATTAAGCCTTTTCACAGCAGTAGTATATTATATTATATTATATTATTGTACCACTTTCAACTCAACAGCATTCTATTGAGTTAAAATACAAAATAAAAACAATTTCCTGAAAATAAATTTGTCCTTAACCAGAGGCATTAAGTTTGACCTTAGGGTACTTACTGTCTGAGTAGCTGTCGGCCTTGTTTCCACATTAACTGGCTGTTTTGTGGTGGCTGCACCTCTGTTTCATTACCTTCATCTGGAAAACATTAAATCATAATAAAATTGACTTGTTTTACATGTTAGAGGTCATCTCAATTTACAAAATGTGTCCAAGAAACATTTATAAGAATATTTAAAACTGCAAGTGCAAGGTATGTTTTAGGAAATTGCTAATTCTGTTTTTAAGTATTTTCCACAACAAAACTATAATAGAAATTAATAACTGCTACTGGCTTCCCCTTAAAGTAGCAGAACTAAAATAAAAATATTTTCCCCTGTGATTAGTTAGCCTAAGAATTTTACTCCAAGACAAAAACCTATCAAGTCACAAGAGAGCCAAATAAAAGTATTATGATGTAACACATCAGAGTGACAACAAAATACAAAGGAATGATGGTAGGAAAGCCAATTTGATAAAGAGCAGATATATAAGGAATAATCTCAGTCCAAATCTGTTTGCTTTCCTAGTTGTTCAAAGAAAACCTCAAGTTTTCTTTTAAGGACATTCTTTGAAGGAAAGCCTCCTAAGTGTTTTAAAACTTAAATTTATCAATAAGTAAGAGCAGAATCCTTTTAATAAGGTGGTAAAATGAAGAATTTCCCTATGGTAGGACTGGACTAAAGAATTTCCAAACTACATTGTGGCTCAACTTCAATAATACAAAGGAGTTCATACTTTTATCAGACTTTGATCAAACTCTAAGAAACTGCTGATCTTTACAAATCTTATTAACTAGATACACAAAAGTATCTTGAAAAGTCTGTTCTGTGATATTTGAAATTAAGCATTTACTGTGTGCTGTGTTCTAGACACTGTGTTAAAAATACGTATACTTTATCTCTTGTAATCCTTACAACCTCAAAAAATAAATGTTAATCCATTTTTAAAGATGAGAAAGCTAAGTTTCAGAGGATAATATAGGCACATTAGTCAGAAACACAGTTGCTACGTGTTTAATTCCTTTCTGTTTCACTCTAGAGTCTTATTTTCCTTCATCTGCTATCACTATGATGACAAAAAAGTAGAGAAATACGTGAATAAAAATAAGAGAAATAGAAATATTTTCTCCTAAAATAACTCTAAAATAACAAGGCTCGCAGGGCACGGTGGCTCACTCCTGTAATCCTAGCGCTCTACACGAGCCAAGGTGGGTAGAAGGCCTGAACTTACAGGTTCAAGACCAGCCTGAGCAAGAGCAAGACCCCCATCTCTAAAACTAGGGGGGCACTGTGGTGGGTACCTGTAGTCCCACTTACTTGAGAGGCTGAGGCAAGAGAATCACTTGAGCCTAAGAGTTTGAGGTTGCTGTGAGCTATGATACCAAGATACTCGACCGAGGATAACAAAGTGAGACTCTGTCATCCCTCTGCTAAAACAAAATAAAGCAAAATAAAATAACCAGGTCAAGTTAATGATATAACAAAGAAAGAGCAGTAGAGTAGAGTGGGGCTTGGGGGTTGGGGGGATGATTAAAGAGGATTAAATTAACTCTGAAAAGAAGTTAATTACTTTGAGATAACTACAAAGAAAGCACTGGGAAAAGGTGCAAAAACAATTCCTTAATACTAAGGTAAAACAAATATACTTTGTTTCTACTAACTCATAATTTTAGTGAGTAACCTATATGTGGCAAGC